AGAGTGAAACACTTAAACTTAATGTTGTGAAGAATTGTGACATAGTAATGTCAAGCATTAACAGACTTAGAGATAAGTTTTATAATAGAGTTGCAGTAAGAATAACTAATCAGTTTTTATATGTTAGGTTCCCAGAGCATATGCAAATTATGATATACAGACATCAGCTAAGTATGAAGGATGTTGGAATAATCAATATTACATGCAAAATTGTAAACTCATGCATCGTTAGCATTTCAAATCAGTCAATCAAATTTTGAGACGTCAGAATTATCGAGGTCACTGCCATTAACATTCAAAATCATATTACTACCTTTGTGCATGTGATCGTTCTCATTTGATGAGACATGTTATGCTTGAGAAAATATTTAGCTAACATATTAGTATAATTCATTGTAATGAGTTATATGAAGATACTACTTCATTCGCAAGACACAGTTTGTTACTAGCGTTCCACAACCACCAGCGAGAAAGTAAAAAGATAGAGCCACCATAGATTACATGTCTAATCTAATCATATGAATTATCCAACTTATAAGAATAGTGGGTCCAATAAGCAAATAGATTTCAAAAAGCGAATAGTAAATTCACAATCTCTCAATCAGTGTAGAGTCGTCTCAGCATCCTGATTGTATATAGGAGGACAGAGATTTGTCTAGAACATACAATGATGACATAACATCGATCACGTACGAGCCACATCCACTTTCAAGAATTATTGTTTGTTGTATTTTGAATAAATTTAAGTATGTTGAGTCAGTTATAACCATCTCGGATAGTATAGATACCATTTAAATTTTCTTTTCAAGTTAGCCAACCAGACACTACAGAATTCAAACAAATATGAAAAGCCCTTTCAAACAGTCACAAATGATCAAAGAAATATTACGATAAAATTACTTGATTAAATGTAAATGGTTATAATATTATTTGATTGAATGTACATGGTTATAAATAGTTTTATATTAATATAAATTAGAATGATATTATTTTTATACATACTTTTATTTAACTTTGTATAGATGCTTAGGAAGATATATATTTGATCAAATACTTACTTATAAGAATATGTTTTGGTCTTAACTAAAAATATGTTCATATTGATAGTTTAATCCTTTAAAATGTATTATATTAGTCCTTTTAAATAATTAGTAACGAAAAACATAAAAATTATTATTAATGTTGCAGGTTAGACGAAAAGAATTAACATAGTACGTTTTGAAGAGTTAAATGATTAATATTAACTTTTTAAAGTTAAGAGACTAAAATAAATTGTGAGAAAAACATTTGAGACCAAAAAATATGTTATTATGTATATATATATATATATATATATATATATATATATATATATATATATATATATATATATATATATATATATATATATATATATATATATATATATATATATATATATATATATATATATATATATATATATATATATATATATATATATATATATATATATATATATATATATATTAGTTTTTTGTCTAGACCTATTGTATCATCTTCATCTTTAAAAGCAAAGGAAATTGGCGAATTCGACATTCCAGATCAAATTCACCCTTCTACCGCAGATCAAGTGAAAGGGAGAAGGGGAGGGACCCATACAAACAAGGCCTCTCCCGCCTCGATAGACGAGAGCGGACCCCCGAGACTTTCATCGCTTGTCCCCGGAATATTCATCAAAAACTATCCTATGTCCCCGGGGGCTTCATCGATTGTCCCCGGGAGTTTCATCTAAAATTGTCCTACGTCCCCTGGGGCTTCATCGCTTGTCCCCGAGAGCTTCATCCTAACTTTAAACTAATCCAAAGAAGTCCCGACGATTCTCCAAAAACTTCAAGGTCTCCCCGGGGCATTCATCAAGTCCACCGGAGAAACCGTCGGAAAATAGGAAAAACGAGAGTAAGGAAGTGGAGACTTACTTGATACAGCGGTTCTGCGAAGACAATACGGAGGCGGACGGCGGAAGTCTCGATGTAGAAGTTTGAGAAGTGCAACGAGAAGAAGAGCAAGCATCTTGAATGGTAGAAGCGAAAAGTGAGAACTGAAGCGGACGCGATCCTATTTATAAGCCTAACACGGGACTCGAGGCACCCCTAGGCACTCAAACGCCCATATCCCTAACTGCCCTTGCTAAGCAATGATTGTCTGACACATGGCAGCACCAGAAGCTTCTCACCCATTTGTCTCCCTTTTGGGCTCGAAGATCGAGCACATCCGCTCGTTGTCCACCTCTCTGACATGTTATCCCGTCGAGCATCCTCCGCTCCCGACCTAGTACACGACACCCAATTCTATGCGTCGAGCAAAATACCATCTCCCGAAAAGGTCCTCGATATTTCTACCTGCCATTAAGTCATTACTCCTCCACCTATGAGCAACGACTTAGGGGGCTTCTGTTCTGGACTAGGCTGAGACCTGCCCTTCAGACGAGTAGGCGCAATCCAATACTATGCTGCTGAGGCCCAACAAGGCCCAATCCTCTTTGTCGGGCACAAGCCTCAACAAGGCACACTATTCGGGCATATCATTATCTTGCACGGGAATAGCTCACGCGCTTTCCCCACGGACTCCACATGCCCCCCACACAAGGACACGTCATCAGGTAACTACCCACTTCCAAAAGAGTTAATCAGTCCACCTTCCGAAGATCACGGGATAGTTGATCCAGGGCAAAGACCACGTGCCGGTCTTCACTACGCCACGTAAGTCCTGGCAGTTACTTGTGTTGGGCTTCGCGACCCGGCCCACTGCAATGTAATCGTTGGCCCTGCGCTGGAAGCGCATTATAAATACTGTCTTTCACTAGATGGTCAGGTATCTTATTCACTACACCTTTTATATGTATTTGCTCTTTCTAGTTCCGTTACTCACTTAAGCATCGGAGCATCTTGCGGGTACACCCCTATCCTCCTCTACAACACTGGTGAAGACAACAACTAACGACGCGTGACAGACTACTGATTCTTTTCTGATCAGGTAAGATCATATATATATATAGGGGCATATTAGTGAGAATGAGTAAGTTATATGAGAATATGATAATAAATAAGAACCATCAAATTTAAAAAGGAAATGTCGAGATTAAAAGATATTTTTAATAATTTCTCATATTTTAATGACACGTAATTTAGTAAAAATCACGATTTAATTTCAACTTTTCCTTTTTAAATATGATAGTTGTTATTCATTCTCACATTTTTATATAACTTATTCATTCTCACTCAATATGCCCCAAATATGAGGCATATATAAAAATTGCGTTTTCAGTATTATTTTTATTAAAAAAAACTTTATATTAATTTTTTCAAAATTTTATCGATAAATTTAATATAAAACTTTCCGGCATGCATAAATTATTCTTTTTATTAAAAAAATTGTTTTTTATACAAATATAGAGAGATTGTTGACGTTATTGAAGATACAAATCAAAAAAAACTTCATAAAAAAATTTCAAATCTTAATATTAACGAAGTTTTCCAAAAATCTTTTTGTTATTGAAAAAATTAAAATATAAAAAATTTTGTGTTGGTAAAACAATGCTTGATCTAGATGATTTGAAAGTAAAGATAACAATAAATAAATATATTAAAATTAAAATCAGAAAAAATCCGACATTTTATGAATTATCTTGGGGTGAATTTACATCCGTAGAGTGTAGTGGGTTACACTTAAATATGACCCCTTTTCTTCAAGCAATGAAAGGGCCATTAGTCATAAAGTTTTCAAAAATGTAATCTTAACGTTGTATTTGCAAAAATAATGTTTGCAAAAATTCCTTAAAAAATAATTAAAGTTATATCAAACACAGTTGTTATAGGGTTTAAAGGTAGTGTACAATGTAAAATAATTTTACACATACAATCAATTAAAATGTCTATAATTATCATATAATATCAATATTTTTAAAAAAATTATTTTGTAAGCATTTTCTTTTTTCTCATCATTACATCACAAAAAAATAATTTTGATATTTATTAATTTAATCATTTAATGTTAGGATTTATACATAATAAAAATTATATGTTTCTTAATAAACATATTTTAAAAATAATTTTATGAAGTAAAAAAACACTAAATTCTCATTATAAGCTCTTTTTAAAATAAATAAATAAAGATTATCATCTAAAAAATTCTTAGTAAAAATATTAAATATTTAAAATAATTTCTATGACAAACTATTTAAACTAATTTTTTATAAGAGCTTTTTTAAATATTTTTTTACAAAAATTATGTAACATTAATTGTTTTTAGAAAATGGTGATAAATGGGCCCGTAATTACTAGTACGATTTTCAAGTGAAGAAAATCAAAATAGATAATTATGGTTATGTGATACTCTACTTAGGAAGAAACTTTCATAAGAGAAACAAATGCTCGTGGTCAAACTAACTTAATTCATGAAAATGTTTATTTACTGAGTCGAATTTCAACTAATGTTAGAAAATATTGATTTGAAGTTTTATTCTTCACAAGTATATGTCGAAAAGTTATTCCAAACTAGCTTTAAGCATAACTTGGTTTCAAATTACCAAATCTGTCTATGTGGCTATCCAGCTATGAAAAATAGAACCATCTTTAACAATAATGTAGTTATAAACAGAAATGGAATTGGTCTAGTTTATGTCACGGACCAAACTGAACTATTCTCTGAATGGAACTTCTTAGGCAAGAAACTTTACTGCTGAGATTCATATTTTGCAAGTGTCAATAGATGAATGAAAGTACCTAAATTGAGATTAGAGAAAAGTCGCACAAAAATTGACCCGGGACAACTGAAATTCATCAATAAGATATCTCATGTCTCATAACCCTTTGACAAAGAAACCAATTTCAATAACTTCAAATTAAAGATAAATAGACACTCCAGGAAGATTTTACATTCAAGCCATGTTTACTGAGTTTCTTCACACTTATATGCAAGATGAATATAATATATTACAAAACAAGTAACCATGTATACCACTACAAGTTTTAAATAAATTCTTACTGGCCAACTGATGGATTTGTCAGCAACTCAAGTGATTTCTTCAAGTAGTCTACTGCAATTGAGACGTCATCGAATGCCAGTGCCCCAACAGCAAATCTTGCAGCCTTGTGTGCCTCTGCTATTCTTTCAGGTGCTGGCTGATAATTACAGTCATACTGGTATGTCTGAGTTGTTGACTTGGGCTCCAAGACAGATCCATTTCTGCTGCTGAGACTGTTTTGGGTATTTAATGAATGGTTTGTAGCTAGAGGCGCTGACTGGGAAGAATATGAAGCATCTGGCCCTTGATAATATGTCTGGTTTACTGGTACCGATGGTAGGGTGCTTTCTGAGAAACTTGGATAAGATTGAAAATGGGGAAGAGAGTAAGAAGAGGGAGTTTCATGAGAAGGGTAATTAGGACCTAAATTTTGTGACTGATCTGGTGAGTATTGGTGGTGGTTGTAGTGCTCAGAATAAGAACTGTCTGATCTAGCAGGTGGAGGATGATGGTAATCTTGGGAAGGTGGAGGTTGATAATCTTGGGAAGGTGGTGGAGGATGGTACTCCTGGGAAGGTGGAGGAGAATGATAATCTTGGGAAGGCGGTGGAGGATGGTAATCTTGGGAAGGTGGTGGATGATGATAATCCTGCGATGGTGGTGGATGATGATAATCTTGGGAAGATGGAGGTGGATGATGATAATCCTGGGAAGATGGAGGTGGATGAAAATCTTGAGAGGGATAAACTCCAGGTGTATAAGAGTGAGATGATGGAGAAACAATCGAAGAATGCTTATTATCATCTACCCTATCATGAAACTGCGAAGATGGTGGAATGCTTGCAGAATTCTGATCATTAACAGTATCATTGAATTTAGGAGCAGGATGAATGCTCGGCATATTCTGGAAGTTGACAGGGTTATGATAACTACGTGTTGAATCAGATTCAGATCCAGCACTGGAAGCAGAAGTTTCGGTAGCCCCAGGATCCTGCAGGAATAAAACAGCTGGAAGTTATTTGTGTACAAATAAATATTAACCTATTGATATGCATTGATCGAATTCATAACAAAACGGGTTGAGTTTTTAATCATACATATCTAATACTAGGAGAACTTGATGGAACAGACAGGTCCTCGTCGCCAGCAGGTGGACCAGCCACAGGCTTCCTTCCTTCTTTCAAAGCCTTTCTTATATCAGCTGCTTTCCATGCTGCATACTTCTGCTTCTGCTCCAGCTGCAAAACAAACTCAACGAAATATTAAAAATACAATTACATTAAGATACATTATTGCCAAATAAGAAAGCCTAGCAACTAGCAAGAACCATGCAAATGCAATTGATACGTGCTTAAAAAATAAAGGTACAATGCATTGAAGTACTCACATCAGGCTGAACTGGTCCAAATTGATTAAGAATCTCAAAAAAGATGCTAGCAGCATAAAATGTTTTTGCCGTACTTCTGCAAAAGGTCGGAAATATATGTTAAAAAAACTATCACAGATAAAAGAATAATTAATATCCAAGAAAGTGATGTTATAGACAATTAGACATAACAAAGGAACACATGCATTATAAGAACATATAAAAAGAAGCGATTTAACATACATATCTGCTCTTCCAGCATGATCTTGCTTGTCTGCTTTTCCAAACACATTCAAAGCAAATCCCTCAAGATATAAATTATCTTCAGGCCCCAGTTGGATTGACTTTTTATCCTATAATAATCGATATTACAAAGAAAAATAATTTTATTAGCAAATTGAAGATACTATTTAATATAAAAGTGAAAAACATAACCAATCAAATTATGCCAGCCACTGAAATAAAATAAAAAACACTCTACAACAAAAAGAAAAAAAGATAAAGAAAAGAACAGGTAGTGGTGTAAACATATCAATTGTTATCATCCAAATTCAAGCATGAAGCAAAATCACTACTGCGATAAAATGACACGGTCACTGCATTTAGTAAATTGTAGGATTCAAAATCCTTGAAGTCACATACTCACGCAGTCACTAAGACAAATTGTTGGATGAAAATCAGACGGCTCATATTTCAAGTTTACTATTCTAATCAGATTCACCTAGCTTAAAATGAGTCGTCCAACCTTCGTCCAAAAGTTCTGATTTAGTAACAGCATGAATGTAGAATTTTCCTGGGAAACGCCACCAATAGCAATCAATATAGTTTATACTCTATGATCAAAGATCAGATTGAGATTCCAAGTTACTGATTTGTTGATACATTATGTAAGTCATTTGATCTCTATCTAGAAGCTTAGATAGACTAAGAGCCTGTTTGGATAAACAGTTTTTTTGAAGCTTATAGCACGAGTGCTTATCAAAATAAGGACTTATGAAAAAGTTTGCATAAGCTATTTTTCTAACAAAAGATAAAATAAATTTAAATTATTTTTATATGTGTTATAAATTGTTTTAATAAGTTATCTTTGAGAACTTACAAACATAAGCTCAAAAAAATTTATGAATAATGCCATAAGTTTAATAAGTTTTTCCAAATAGTGTCACAAAACTAATGGCATAAAATAAGCTCAATTATAGTCTCAGAGTCTCTGTTCCTAAAGCCTAATTACGTGAAATTCCGATCATAAATCAAAAGATCTGACACGGAAGGAACATGCAATTCATCCAATTTTAATTCAACAACTTCAATTTACTAACTTGCTTCTTCTTTCCAATCACAAAATCTAAGTTCATTCAAGCACTTCAATTCACACATAGAAACTTGCTTCTTCTTTCAAATCACAAAACAAGTTTGAGATTCATACAACCAATAATCAATTAAAATATCAGACATAAAATTTTCAAAGGTCTTATAATTTCTACAGCTAATTATGATTACGGTCAATTAAAAATAACTTGCATAGTTAAATAAATTATGATTAATTAAGTATAAAACCTTTTCGAGTTGTTTCATGAGTGAAACAAGAAGAGAATTAGTGGTTTTGGTGCGATCACTTTGTGGAATCTTCAATCCACGCTCCATCGCATATAATCGACCTAAATTTACCAAATAAAATCGAAAATTATGAATATTATTAGGAATTTCGATTTGAGAAAACACGAAAGTATAATTGAAATAAATAATAAGAGATGATCTAACAGTAATAAGCGACGAGAGGTTCGTGTTTCTGCAATTCATCGGCGCGTTGAAGGTATGGTAACAGGAGTTTCGCGGGTTCGTTCTCGTTCGCCATGGACAATTCTGAGAGAGAAACTGAGAAAGTGTTGCAGAAGAAACGACGTCGTTCGGTTAGATGCTTATTCGTTCGGGATTTTGAGTAATGTACCTCTCGTTAGAAAATAGGATTTAACATTTTTATTAATATCAGGGTCGACCTAACCTAGTCCTAAAGCGAATGTTACGTCACAACCTATTTTGCGACAAATATTGAAATATATATTTTTATTTAAAAACCATTAAACTTTTTGAAAAAAATATTTAAAATATTATCAATTAGCTATATATTAAAACCATTTAAATCGAATTTATATATTTCTAGATATAAAAATAAAATATCATCACAATTATATATATATATATATATATATATATATATATATATATATATATATATATATATATATATATATATATATATATATATATATATATATATATATATATATATATATATATATATGTGTGTGTGTATGTGACCTAACAAAAAGATAGACAAAATTGTATTTTAATTTAATTTGTTTTTCAATTTTATAATATAATTTAAAATTTAAGAATAAAGAAAAATAAATTTATCATCACAAAATTATAAATAAAGAAATTAGAATAAAAATTGTTAATCATTGTTAATATTTGATAAAATTTAACTAAAATTATGATTTATACTAAACAAAAAATACACTGTTTATGTAGAATTTAGATGCTGAATTAATTTTAAATTTTTGTTTGAGATATAAAGTAAGAGTTTGTGTTTTCTTATTTTTGATATGCAAATCTTATAAAATATAACAATAAAATTTTGTATTTTAAGTTCTCTTTTCTCTAACTCTTTATGTAGAAAACATGTGTTACAACATTATCAAATATCAATTTTTTAAAAATACTTTAAAAATATGGGATTAAACTCTAGACAATAACTTACCAATAAACGAATAATAATTAAGGATACAAGCAATACAATAATTAAAAAATAAGCAAAATAGTTGAGATAAAAAGGAAAACGCTTATGGAAAATTCTTGTAAATAAAATGTTAAATACATATTGTATGGGAAAATATTGATATAATCGAAATTGTCCATACATTCTACTAATATATAATACAACGTATTTTATAATTTGTATATTTTTTTACACAAATTCATAAGTTATATATATATATGTGATTTCATTATCTGTGTAAGTCTTCCAAAAAATTTTATAAAATAAATAGTTTGCATATTATTTATATTCGGCGAGAAGTTGTTATTTTCATACGATTATATTATATAGTGTTTATGAGTTAATATTTTGGATCAGTCAAAAATTCAATAAACAAAGATCCAAATAATCGTGAACGTGTTGAGTGTTAAGAAAGTAACTGTTGTTGACAGTTATTTTTTACTTGTATATATGTTGATTTTCTGCATTGTGATTAAGGTCGCAAATTTTATTAAGTTCTCTATAAAATCCAATATCCAAGTCACATTGATTCATAGATTCAGTGAAAATGTATTAACATCCGTATCATTTTATGTTAATACAAACACTACATTTTCAATTTGTTTCATTATCCTCTTTGCTTTAAATGCACTCTTATTTCTTTTCATTCTAAGTCTTCATATTTTTCTGCACATTTCTATTTTCTTCACGTTGTTCTTGAGTTCTCACGAATTCAGACGAAACCACCCTTTCAAACACACAAATTATTCTCAAAACACCCACATACAGATATGTCCTTGAGATTTTTCAAGTTTAATCTCTTAAATGAACAAAACTCATGATTGTTTACTATAAAAATACTAGTAAACAAATTGGCACGCCCAGTGGGATACTTTTTGTGCATTCTAATTCAAGGTTTCTTTGCAGAAAACTGTGTGTATTTTTGTTTATTTGTTTTGTTCTTTAGACAAATGTTTGAGTGTGTATGCGTTTGAGAAGTGGTAAAGTTAAAATTGCAGCAAAAAAAGTCAAAGAATATTTCCCCTCCCCAAAATAACGCACCAAATATGGAAGAACAACCAATCAAAACGACAGTTGACTGTGTGGGAACTTTTACATCTATTGAATTAACTGTTTCCATTATAAGTCAAATGCCAATTTCAACGGCATTATCATAAGTGGTGGTTTCCCCAATGCAAGTAACGCCTAACTACCACCAAGGTCACACGACCAATTTTAAGAGATCTTAGGCCTTTCTTTCTCCCAAATTTCACCCTACCCCCTGGTGGTAGGGAATATCCATATGACATGAAAACTACAATGATGGAAGGCCTGCAAACCAATGTGTCTACATATGAAAATAATGCAATGATTGTTCCATCCCCTCCTAATCCATATTTATCCTTAGATCGGCTATAAGCAATCCTAGTTGAGTGGCATAGCCACGTGTAGGGTTAGGATATATCCCTCAAGGTATGCCACCCTTAACCAGTAATTCCCTCTCGTATGTGAGGCAACAAATGGATGATGAATATGCTTACAGAGTACACTGGTATTGTGTTTAACCCTTTGATCCAAAACACTAACCATAGTTACCAGCAATTGGTGCATGAAATGAGTTGAATTGCTGATTTTTTTTGTGCTCATCAAGCACCTACCCAGCCAGTGCCTAATAATCAAAAGCCACAACAGGCTATAGTTATTGAACAACCTGTACCCAGGATAGTCGAAGGCAACGCATGCCAAAATGGCCCTAAGGTAGTATTGGTGCATAGAAACTAGGATGCAGACCAAGTAGTTAGGGATGTCCAAAAATATAACTTTAGGGGACACAATAATATAGTTAATGTCGTCGAACAAATTTTAGCCCAAAACGGCCTTAGTGTTGGCCTTCATAGGCCAAATTTCGTATCTGCTTTGTTTGAATATATGTTGCAGACTGAACTTCCAAAGGGTTGGAAAGTTCCTAAGTTCACTAATTTTGTAGGGGATACCAACAAATTCATTGTCGAATATATTTCTAGGTATCAGTCAGAGGCATGAGACTTGGATAGTAATCAAAACTTAAAAATGAAGTATTTCCCAAATTCTTTAACTTAGAATGCTTTTGCATGGTTTGCTACCCATCCCTTAAATTCCATATGCAATAGGAACCAGTTAGAAAGAGTGTTCCCTGAGCAGCTCTACACGGGCCAGTCGAAGATTAACATAAAATAATTGGCCAGTGTAAAGAGAAAGTTCTCTAAGTAAATAGATGACTACTTTAATAGGTTTAGGCTATTGAAAGTAGGATATTTTATACAGGTGCCTGAACATGAGTTTTTCTAAATAGTTGCAGGTGGGTTAGACTATTCCATTCGGAAGAAGCTAGGTACCCAATACCAGAGGGACATGGCCTAACTAGCTGATGGGGTTCAACAAGTCGAAAGGTTGAAGGCTGAAAAAGTCAGTTCAACTTGACACCTTAGGAAAGAAAAAGTTTCCTATATAGAAACAAACGAAAACGATCAAGAAATTGATATAGTTTTCGAATATGTTGAATATAAGGAGGTTGAGTTGGTAGAATTAAAGTCAGAGACTTCATATGTTTGTAAGGTCTTAAGACCTTCAAACATGAAAAATCCTTCCAAACCAACTAAAAATGATAAGTTTGTTACAAAAGTTACACGCTTGACGTAACTAAATGTGATGAAATCTTTGATCTTCTGGTTGCTGGTGGTCAAAATATAGTACCAAAAGGTTTGAAAATGCCACCATTAGAACAAAGAAAGAACATAGGTTTTTTGTAAATACCATAACTTTCTTGGCATAAAACATCTCAATATGTATTATCTTTACAAACTCTAAAATAAAATTTGTATTTTTTTCATATTAAAACTTTTTTGAAAAGATCATGACTATGGAAGAAATCATACATGTTACCTTTGTTGATATAACTTTTTTTGTAGTAGATGTAGAATTCTCTGTTTATGCAGATATTCTTGAAGAATGCTCTTCTAGAAGATCAAGATAAAGACAATGGTCAAAGATCAAATAAATAAAGATCAAGAAAAAGACCAAGGTCAAATAAAAGATCATTGAAATAGGGAATCAAGCATGGATCATCAAAATCTTCCCAAAGAATGGAGAATCACTAAGGACCATTCCAATTCAGAATGTTATTGGATATAATTCTAAGACAATTCTCACTGGACACTCCATTAGCAAGGAATGTAATCATATGACTCATTGGCAAATCTCCAAAAAATCACATCTCTCTGCAGAAAATGCATTAAGAGATATCTCATTGGCACACACCAGATGGATTTAGGGTACCCTAAATAAACAAATTATGTCTTGGTTGGGTACTCTGACTTTGATTTTGCTGGGTGTAAATTAGATTGGAAGAGTACCAATAGTATGTGTCACTTACTTGGAAACTCGCTTGTCTCATGGCATAGTAAGAAACAAGCAAGTGTAGACTTATCCACAACTGAGGCAGAATATGTTTTTACAGGTAGCTGTTGTGTGCAAGTTATCTGGATGAAACGCCAACTAATTGATTACGAAGTTAATATTAATGGTGTCCCGGTAAAATTCGACAACACTGATGCCATAAATCTGGTAAAGAATCGGGTACTTCGCTCTTGAATGAAACACATTAAGGTTAGACATCATTTTATTAAGGATTGTGTTGAAAAGGAGATTGCATAATTGAGCACATGTCTTCATATAATCAACTCGCAGATATTTTTACCAAACTGTTTCCTAAAGAAAATTTCTTGTTCATAAGAACTGAGTTAGGGATATTTAATCAAGCATGCATGGAATAATGTCTGATAAATGTCTCTTATCTTCTTCTTCCCTTTCTCTATGTGATTTACATGATCTATGTGTTTGCTTGTATTTGCTTTTTCTCTTTTGTGATAATTCCAATGGGGGAGAAGTATACTCTCAAGGGGAGTAGGGCATACTTTCTATATTTATCAATGGAAATTTAACTACTCCAATCTATCACCTTGTTTTCTTTGTTTTATCCACATCCTTGAGAGATATGGTGTCATCATCAAAAAGGGGAGAGAATGTGAATTTATATGCTAATAGGTGTTGTAGTTGATAATGTTTTGATCAGTTGAGTGATTTTGATGATTTTGATGATTAGTTCGATGTTCGATGGGGTCGTGATGGTTGATCTTTTTCTTGATCATGTTGATCCCTATTGATATATTTTCATATGTCTATGGTGATGTTACTTATTCTAAATTTATCCCAAGCCTCATCAGGGAGAATATTCAAGATTTCAGTGAAGTGATAAAGTCAAAGATAATGTAGCAAGGATCTTGAAGCTTCAAAGTTGTGAACGAAATAAAGTGTTAAAGCCCGTTTAGTCGGTCGTGCGCTTAGTGCACTGTCTGAGTGACCAGAGTATTATAAAAGTGTTAGATTAATTGATAAGTTACTAAGGCAACTCTCACATACTCACAAAATGTTTTTAAGGACCTTTTATTTTTTATGAAATCACTAGAAAATGTTTTTCGCATATAGCTAGTTGGTTACAAGCCCAAATAATCTCTTACGAGTGAAAATTACACAGAATAATTGATTATCCATTAGGTATAGTTGATTATCTCATTTTTAACGCCTCATTGATAATCGATTAGTAACGACGCAGTTTGAAAACTTTCCATTTTTACACTGCATTATCGATTATAGTTATGGCATAATCGATTATGAACATTAAAAGTCCCATGAATTATTTTTCTTTTTGAGCTGCATTTTCTCCTAGATAAGGATAGTGTCTCATCACTAATTCAATTTTAAGAAGGGTGTCTCCTCACTACATTTTCTCACACCATAATTTGATTTTAAATCATTCTTCTCTATTTCTAACATTTTTTATTTTATTCTCTTTTCCAATAAAATTTGCTTTAGTACCTTTGTGAGTTAAATACATTTGTGAGATTTTGGTTATATTAGTGTCCAGTTGTTTTATCAAGAGTGTGGTTCTCTTGAAGTTTCTCTTGTTTTGTTGTTGAGGTTGTCCTAGTAAAAACTTTGCTTTGTTTCCGAGATCAGCTTGTCAAAATTTTGTTCTTAGTTTGTGACCTTAGCCTATGAAAAGATTCATTTGGTTTGAAGGATTAGCTTGTGAAAATCTCTCTTAGTCAATTATAATAAGGTTAGTGGACATAATCTGGTAAAAGCTCAAAAGACTTTATCAGTGGAACTCTTAAGAAGTTTTTCTTGGGGAGAGGATTAGGCCAAGAGATCAGTCGTACCTCTATAAATCCTAGTGCAATCTCTCTTAACTCTTTTTCTATTTACTTAAAGTTATTTACTTTCCTTTACATTTTCACCTTTTCATTTTCTGTTGATATCTCTATGTTTCACTATACTAATGCAAACTATTGTTTTAGTAATTAATCTTAAATTAATCACGAGTTTTAAATATCACAACTCTCTCTCTCTCTCTCTCTCTCTCTCTCTCTCTCTCTCTCTCTCTCTCTCTCTGAGTCATTTGTTCAACATTATGTACCCACATTTACCTGAGTGAGTCCTGCGTCAATTCGCGTATATATAGGGTATATCCGAAGACCTCACCATTGTTGTTTCTGCCACTGTCCTCCGCATGGATGTTGATGAGATTTTTTCAGTGTACTATGATCATCTATTTCTAGAGGATGTATGTCGAGTGTCAGCTCCTAGTCCATAGAGTACAGTATACGATTACATCCGATAATTTTATAGAGTTTCACATCCATGCATGACACTAGATGCAAAAGAAGATCCTTTGAGGCTAGCTCATCAAAAGATCTTAGAGGAGAAGCAGGCAAGGGTGGACCATGTCGTTGATGCGTTACCGATATGTCACCCCATTGTAGGCATTTGGAGGAAGGACATAGCTAGAGCCGATTTTGAGGAAGACACTCCCCATATGGTCACTTTATAGACCTTCTTAGTAGAGACATGGCATGCGTTGCAATACTAGTGAGAGAGAAGGAACAATGATGCCAAATATACACACTAGTTGTCTTTTACTTTGTATATTTTGACATTTTGTATTATAGTTTGTTGTTGGATTGATTATGATATTTTGACATTTTTCTTTTTAACATTTTGAGATTTGGCATTCAGATATACACATTAGTTATTCTATGTTTATCTTACTATAAAATGACAAATGTGTGTGGTTTATTGTGGGATTGATTTATAAACAATTTATTAAAAAAAATGTTAAATTTCTTCTAACTTACTTTCAAATGGGGTAAAATATTGTCATTAGATTAATCTCCAGGTTTAAATCCAAAATTGTGATTTTAGTGAAACACAGAAAATACATATGCAAGGTTAATCCAAAAAATAGAGTGTCTCATACATAAAATCATTTTGTTCTAGAATATATACTTTTGGATATTGGAATTCAAAATATAAAGGGGAAAAAACATTTTGATGGATGTCAGTGTAGTGAGCATCACCCTATTATAACTTAAAATACCTTGTATCAACATCAAAAACAAAAAAAAAAATTTAATGCACCTTATACATTATTTAGACACCACGTTAAAATATCAAGATAAGATTTCGAATATGCGTTTTCGGATGCATTTTATACACATAGAACTCATTTGTTTTTAATCACGTCTTAATTATATGATTTAAATTATTTCAAAAATGCATTTTTCAAATGTCTCTAAAAATACATTTTTAAAACTCACTTAAAAAAAATACTTTTTTTTTTCTTTCCATAGTTTTATAATTATATAAGATGATAGTCTATGTTCATTAATCAAATAGCTTGTAGTGGTAGGGAGGTTTGGAAAGTTTAATCCTTTCTATAATGGTTATTCAAATAACTGTAATTACTCATTATCTGGCAAGTTCAAGTCTAATTATGTTTAACTTGGTTTTTTCCGTACCATTATGCTGGTATCATTAGCCTACATTATTATTTATTTTAATATGAATGGAAATGTTTAATTTGGATTTGCAAGGAGGGTATGAAATATTCTGGTCTCTTATTTAAACACTAAAATTTCATTTTACATCTTTTATATTCAATTTTCAGTATGTACAACCTTTTTCCCATCTCTTTTCTTCCATTTTTCTCCCAATTCCGATTCCACTTATAGATCAAAATAATGTTGGTTCATGCAATTTTTTATTGTTCAAATCAGTTTTACAGTGCAATACGAATCCAAATGAATGCTCATATTTAGTAGTAGAAGCGGATACATAAATTAAAATACAGATGGTAATAATGTTGGTTCATGCAATTATCATCAGGCAATTCTTTTGAGTTTCAAAATTATATTTTCGAAATATTTCAAAAATGTACTTTCGAGTTTCAAAAATGTATTTTTGAAATATTCTAAAGATATATTTTTGAAATTAATTAAGTCATAAGATTGAAATGTATCTTAAAAATTAATAAAATGTATGTGTATGAGATATATCCGGAGATACATCTCTAAAATTTAAGAGTTATTTTTTTATTTTTTATAAGATGTACACAATAGAGTGGACCCACAAAAATGTTGTGCAGGCCCCTGCCAAGTTATCAAACACTCGTTTAACGTGTATGTTTTGTAAGGCATGGTTGTGGGTCTAGAAGTTTGGATGCTGTTTGAGCATCACAGTTGTGGGATCTATGTTTTTGTATTGTGGTAATAATGGGGTGAAACGTCTAATGCTGCAAAGCTTTTTTGGTTAATTAACGTGTTTATTTTATGGTTTTACCATCGGGATTAATTTATTTTTAGAAATTATATTACCGAGAATATTATTTTCACACGAGTGTGTGATAAATTATTGATATTTCTGAAAAACATGGCTTGTGCGTTCGGATTCTTGTGTTTGATATTTCTGAGAACATGGCTTGTGTTGAGTGTTTGGAAAGAGAGTCATTATTGACATTGACTGCAAAGTAGCTACAGTTCTTGTTGGCCAATTGACATTGAAAAATCGAATTCAACAAATAAGCTGTTCATAGTTTAACACGAGAAGACCAATTAACAACTGACTTTATCATCAATCTCCAGTTTGTAACGCATCTTTGATGTAAATAAAATTTCATGATTTTCTTGTTTACAAAAGAAAAGAAGAATGCACTTCACTCCACTACATGACTTGTGTTTATAAAATTTCAATTACCAAGAGCATATGATTAAAACTCATACCAGTCTCACTAAATCATTTAGAGCCCATATAAATCTGGTGGAACACGAATTTTGACCAAGAGTGTATTGAAATGTGTTTTATAAGGCATTATTCATTATTCATTGGCAATTCATATTTGACCTTATCAAAGATTGACCTAATTCATAAGAATTTGATCATGTTTCACAAGTTACAAGATCATGGATTGAAATCACATCTATGGCCCTTAAAGTTTGATACCAATGAGCCTCCAACGCCTAAGGTTAAACTTTCATTACGTTACAAAGAAAAGGGGGGAAACCAATTTTATTTTTATTTTTGGCAAAAAAAAATGAACACTAATGAATAGAACTAAGATTTGATAGAAGGGAAATAAAGGACAAAACTACTACTGTATATTTTATACTAAGGGCTTCAATGGAATAAGCAACATGTACTAGTAAACCTCCAAATGGAAAATATACCATACATAGCTAAGAACAGTTCCTCTCTAATTACTTGTCACTCACATATTATATATTCCTAAAGCAGTAACTAGTAATATGACAATGTTACAAAGGTGAATTATGAGGTTGGAAATTAAGCTCTCATTAGGGCGATGCTGGGATGGGTTCAGTACCAGAAACATGGGAGGCAGCATCTTCTTTTGACATAGCCACATAATTCACAGGAGCCACTGGTCTGGTATTATCCCTTTTTCCATCTTTTGCTATGGACCTGCTTCCATTTTGATGGGCATTAAGCGATAGCCGTCGGCTAGGAGTGCCGTTGGCTCCTCCATTTACACGAGGGCCTCCTCCCTTCTTAGCGCTAACTGGCCTAGCAGGACTGGGTTTTGAACCAAATGGGGCTTCTGGTTCTGTGATTTGCAGCTCCTGAAACTTCTTCTGGTCCTGTAGAGAGTGCAAACACCACAGTTCATACAAGTTATTAAAACTGTGTAGTGAACAGAAATAGGCCAAGCTGATAGTTTAACTTTGTTCAGAGACTTATTATGAGAAAATGCTCCAATTAATCTGAAAATCAGTCATCCTAATCATAACATCAGTGATACTTACTCTCATTCTTCGTTTTTCTTCTTCCCGTTCATGCCTAAGCATGGCATATTCATCTAACATGGCTAGAAGAGGAACACCGTCATATGTAAATGACATGTCATGGGTCTCTTCCCATGTCCGTGTTTTAGCAACCAACGTCTCAACCAAAGCTGCATTTTCACCAAAAGAAACAATGTTAAAATTTTCAATATGTGCATCTTTTTGTTTTATATACATTGATGGCGAATAGCCAAATATAGTTAAAAATAACAGTATCTAATGGTGGTTGTGGTTTCATTCCATACATACCAGGAATTTTATTTACCAATATCCTGGCTTTCTCTGCTCGTTTGAGGTTTAAGTGTGCACCTCTGCTTGCATTATACCTGTTCTCGTCCTGTTTTGCATTGATGTGTAAGGATGATAAAATTATTATATTTAAAAATGGGGAAAGCTTGTGCAACCATTAAATGCAATGATCAAGCTTGCAGTAAACTAAAGCTAAAACTTAGGCACTATCAAATAGCAAATTGATACTGATTTGCATTTGTCTTTCTTAGCATATAAGTTTTAGTGATTTGCTATTTGATTGTAAATGTCTTGATTCACTCTCACCAAAACTGCGCACAACCAACTACACCGAACACGCAGAAAAAATGCACAAGGGAGATTATAGTTACCCGATTATAGTCCTCAAGCCAGCTCTCTTCTTCACATGCTGACATCCATTTCTCAACCTTGTCTAATATATCTTTTCGGCTTAAAGCTTCTTCTTTCGCTTTTGCTATTTGATTGTCCATGTCAGCCAGTAATTCAGTTGGTTCAATGTCTCCAGAATCAATTAATGCCATGATCTTCTCCCTTGCAACATCTGAGTCTATTTCTATATGAGCATGGGCAAATATCTCTTCGAGTTCTGATTGTTTCTTGAAAGCAATTTCCTTCATCCTGCTTGCTTTAAGCTGGTCAAGTCTCTCAACTTCCACTTCAGCCTTCACAATAAGAACAAAACAACCAATTAGCTTAATTTTTGGATCCAAGGCATTTTACTTTCAGAAAGTTTCTAGTACCTGCTCAATCAGATCCAGGGCAAGGGAACCAGGAATAGTGACTTCATCAACAGAAGCAGAGATGTTACAGGTAACATGGTCAAACAGTTTCCTTTCCTCTTGAGGAGTATCCATTAGATTCCAAAGATCAATTAACTGAGAAGCTAATTCTTGGAGCTGCAGGGTTGGACAGGTTGAAGTAAAATAAAAATTATACCATAGTCTAAAAACCCATATTCACTTCCAAGTATGAATTAACATATTTTGAGATAATCATATTAAAAATATGTGATAAACATATTAAAAATATATGATAAACATATTTTGTGAAACAAAAACCACAATATGCAAAAGTTACAAATAATTGAAAGCATATAGTTAACAACCTTGTGCAGCCTCTGCTTTTTATCTTCTTTCAGCGTTAAGACTGTGTTAGCGAGCCTAGCTAGAGTGTCATTGCTTATACTTTTGGATTGAACACCAGTCGAATCATTCAGGCTTGGATGAACCTCAGTTACAGTACTGAAGAAGTCCATACCAAGTACAGCACAAAGATCATGCACAGTACTCACCAATTCAAAAACCTTTTGCAATCTGTCACTCTGACGAACAAAGCAATGCAACAAAATTGTCAATGCTTAGTTAACGATATCAAATGGGATTTTCATTCAGAAAACTAACTGAAATAAACTTAGACATGGCAACCAAATTACCTTTTCCTTTTGAAGTTCATGAAGCTCAGATTGATATTCCTCAAACTTCTTCAGGGACAGGTCAGACTCGTCAACTGCAGGTACATCATTATGATTCAAGCTCCCAGTTATCTCTCCACATATTCTCTGGATCTGTGACTGTACATCTGAGAAATCCTTTATTCTTTCTTCCTTTTGTTCCCATAACTGTTCAAGTACCGGTGCTATAGCTGCAAGCTGTTCCTTGATGGTTCCAGAAGTATTATCTGGCTGCAAAAGAATAAAAGATATGCATAGTAAATTAGTCTGTAACTTCATAATTTTAATGCATCATAAAGCAATATATGCATTAGTAATTGTGCTGTGTTTCTTTCATAAGAACATAGCTAGGTAGTTACTAACAATTCCAGCAAAGCTCTTTTCTCCAAGAGCTGATAGAAGAGTAGAAAGTTCAAGCTTAGCATCAGACAGGGATTGAAGTAGCTGTGCCCTCGACTTTGTAGCATGCTCAACCTTTCTCTTGTACACATCCAAACACTCCTGCTCTAACTGAAGAAGCATCTTGTCCCGTTCTTCATCACTTTCACCAACCTCGTCCCATATTTCCTACATCGAATATGGGATAACCTAACTTTATTAACCTTTAGATCATACATTTAAGTGAAGATAAATAACCAAATGAAGTTGTTACCTGCAGCTTCTTCAACAAGGAACCACAGGTGTTTTCTCCAATAAGAGGGTTTTGAGCTTCAGTTACCGCCATTGAAGTTCCAGAGCAACCTAGCCTGCAAACCCTCACACACAAAAATCATAAGAAATTCCTTTCACCATCAACTCACAGATAGAATAATCTCTTCTGAAAAGATCAGAAAAGCAGATATCTAAAAACTTGTCTATACACCAAAAACAGAGTTCTGTTTGACAATAATATAAAACAAAACAAAAGACAAAGGAAAAAAAGATGCTATAGTTGATCTCATTATAGGGAAAGAAAACTAGTGACTTTGACTAATCAAAGACTATGGAAATACAATTACACAAAAGAAGCCATATAAAGTACATAGTCTGAATTCGGAATCAACAAAACCATAGTGAAAGCAAAACTCAAAATTCAATGTGACTAAAAACATTGAACTCCAGTGCCCTAAATTATCCATCTCAATAGGTAAAACTGACAAAAATCAAATAAGAATCTTAGAAAATTAAGCAAAAAAAAAAAAAAACAATTACAAATCGTGATAGTACTAATACTAGTTGTGTTACTAAGGTTGAAAATCACCGCATTCCATAAATTGCATCTGCAAACAAATCTCCAAAAAAATCAAGCTCATTCAACACTTTCATAATTCAATGCATAGTTACGCTGATCAAACTCACTGTATATAGCATCACAACAAAATGATTTCACCAAACAAAAAAAAGAAGCTAAACTAATCAATTCGCCGACAATAACAAATCAGCAAGAAGACTACATTACACTGACAAAAAAAATCAAACTGAAACAGAACTTCAAAGAAACGAATGAAGAGTGGAGACGAATGCTAAGATTTAAGAGAGCATGCAACGAGTAAGAATCAGATCTCAGAGGTTAGCATAGATCAGAGGAAGAAGATGAAGATTGATAGAGAGAAACGTTACCGTATGAGGCTGGGTTAGGGTTAAGAGGTATTTCAGATCTGAAACAGTGTGAATGAATGTGAGTGAGTGTGAAAAAAGAGTGAGTAGTGTGTAGTTATAATAATGGTGGTAATATTAGTAAGTGAGAAAGTGATGAAAGATTAGATTTTAGATTATTAGATTAAATAGAAACAGATGAAGATGACAAGAAAGAGAACGTAACAAAATGGACCCACAGTGCTACACAACAAAAAAACACCATATATTCTCTCTCTATTTCTCTCGTTAATTGCCATCTGTTTTTATCTTATTTACAAAAATGACACTGTAACACTTCCCTCGTAATCACCTCCGAAATTTTCTAAATATAAATATAAAGAAGTAATAACATGAAGAAAAAAAAACAAACAGACTCTGAGTCAGAGTCTTATTAAAATTAAAAAAATATAATTAAATGAGTTTTATTATAATACGCGGTAAAAATGAAAAAACGGTAACTTGTATACGGCGTTATAAATTCCTGTGACGCAATTATTTTTTGCCTTATAATGAAATTACTTTTTGTGTACGTTACCAGTATAAAAATTTGACTCGGTGATTTAGACTAACCACGTGCTCGGTGACGGTGAGTACATAGTGATTTTTTTTTTTTGTTAATAATTTAAATTTGTTATTAATGGAATTAACATAAAGTTTTATTTGTAATAGAAAAATAGTTAAAATTTTGTCAAGTATTTAGACATAGAAAGATTAAACTTTAATTAGATCAATAAAATATGATAAAATAAAGTTGATGGAATGACATAGGATAAAACTATATTGTTTTAATTATTTTAAACTAGAAAAATACTCGTTCAATCGGACTAATTGTTATGTTAATTATTAATAAGATATAAAAAAATATTAAAAAAATTTTATTACAAAAAATAATATGATAAATAATTGAGATAACTAAAATTTAGTATATAAATAATATAAGACTTGTTTTTATAGTAAATCAAATATATTTTATGTATTTGAATAAAATGATTATAGGTAATATGATTTATATTTGAATAGGGTCATTAAATTGTCAAAAATATAAAACTTGAAAATTTAAAAGGTATTCAATATATTAATTAAATATTTATTTAGTATTTATAATGTGTTAATAAAAATTTTGTTTCATTTTTTTTGTATTATTTATTTATATACGTCTATTAATTAAAAAGTTTTAATCGTTGTTTGTTTTGTGCCATACTCTTTTATTATATATTGGTGTAAATCAGTCCTTTGTAGTTGTTATGTATTTTTATTGTATTCATCATAAATATTTGTCTGGTATTTTTTTATTAAAAGTTAATAGTTATAAATGTGTCTCGTTTTTATATATAAATATAATAAATGTTAAGTATATACTAGTTAATGTATGATGTATGGTCGAATTTATCTAATTAATTAGTTATAAATATTTATCTCATTTATAAATTGTATGTTAATTATTTAGTAACTTACATAATTTCATAAAAAATAACGTGACATAATTGAATTGTGAATATTAAATACTAAATAAAATAGTCTAAATTTTGATTCTTATTTTATGTTTACATTTGTATGATTTAACGATTTTTAATGACTCATCTCTATATAAAAAAAATTGCATACAGAATTTATAATTAGTGTATTGTATAAATAAAATTAAAATTTATTATTATTATCAATTTTACGTAAAATTTAACTGAAAAATATTAAAGTTAATTAATAGATTAGTGACATGAATTTTTCTTATATTTGAATTATGTATTTTAACAAAAAATTTAGTGACTCAATGTTAGAAAAACAAACAAAAAAAATATGATAAAACTATCATTGGTGTAGTATAATTGTTCACGATATTTTGTTAATGTTATTTTTAAAATATTAATTTAAGCTATTAACTTAATGATAAATTCTGTATTGTATACATTTTTGTATGTTTCAAAGATTTGTTAGTGAATATTTTTTAAGAAATAACAAATAAAAGTTATATTTAATGTATTATAATTTTTTTCACAATTAATTAATAATAAACAGTTATTCTCCTTCAAAAGCATCCAGTAATGACTCATTCATAAAAATAAAAAATAACTTGCACTAAAAATGTATTAGAATTATTTTATTTTTATGTTAAAAAATCTTCTTGAAAAGTTACATTTTTAAAAATAATTAAATATTAAATATTTATCCCATACCTAATTCTTTAATATTTTTATGTTAAAAATCTAAAATCAAAGTGTGAAAAATTTATAATGACTTTTTACAAAGTAAATAATTCAAATAATTTTTTAGTGATTTTTATCATAAATTATATTGTATATGATATATTTAGTCTACTTTTTATAAGATATAAAAAATAATTAAATCATGATAAATAATTAATTTTCTTATAAATGAACGATAGATTCGAATGTCGCTCTTTAGTTACTCATTTTTATCTATAATAAAATAAAAATTAAAAAAATATCAAAAAATGTAATTTTTGTAATTTAATTATTTGACTTTTATGTCGAAAATAGTTTGAAAGTATTAATTTTTAGTAATTCTTTAATAAAATATATATTTTTTGTATTATTTTTGTAATTAATATAAATTAACTATTCTTTTTTTTTCACCACAAATATCTCACTGGATTAAGTAATAACTACTCTTCTTACAAAATATTAAAATTGATAAAATATTAAAAAAGTAAAATTGATAAATATTTCTTAGCCTAGTTCGTTGAGGCTAATTTTTATAAAAGGAAAATTGATAAAATAGAATGCAACTTGTTCATACAATTAAATATTAGCACAAATTTCCAAAATTATCCTCATAAAATAATATGTTTCACATATACAAAAGTAAATTTGGAGGTAATTTAACATAATTTTAATTTGTTTTAGTAAAACGAGGATATATCACATAGAAAAGAAAGAATCAATTACAAATGGTCATGCATGGAACAAATAAAAAAACCTCAGCAGTTAACCAAATCTAAAGATATAAAGATTTAGCATATTCCTATTAAAATTCATAATTACAATCACGTCACTATGTATATCATCCCATCAAATATAATATACATTAGTAGTTTAAATGCGGTGTTAGAATATTTTAATAATATAGTAATATTAATATTTTAATAATTATGTGATGAAATATATTTATTTATTATATTAAATATTTTATTAATTAAGTGATTTTAAATAATTAAGTAATTAAATAATATTTAAAAAATTATTTAAATTTTATTTATGAATTATTTAATTAATTAATTAATTAAATAATTAGGTATAGACTGAAATTGTGAATGTCACGATAACTCATTTGGAATTATGAGAATTTTAGTTGACCGTCACATTATATATAAGCTATAGTCCCCAATATATTATACAACACACAAATTATTTCTTTTCTCCGTCTAAAGAATTCGAGATCAACTGATTTAAATATTTCTAAAATTAATCAATCGATCTTTTAATCTTATATATTCTTAATTTTCATGTCTAAATTATATATTATAATATTTTTAGATATATTTTGATTAATCATTATTAATCTAATTCTAATACATAATAGTTGCTCTTTCTATAAATGTGAGTAATGATTGAGCAGTATAGACTTTAGAACAATCAAATAGCTAACCCACATATTTCTTAGCCTCAACGAACTAGGAAGGGCATGGTGCAAAGCCAGAACCACAAGCTGAGTGTTTCCAATTAGAATAGAATCCAAACCAATGCTTAGATTAGGCATGCCCATAACGAAGATGGCTCACATGTGCTTGACAAAAAATACATTACATGCTATAAATTATAAAAGAAATTACCTAAGTCTTTACGCCATATGCTGTCAAAACGAGAGAGATTGTAATGGAGTTGTCATTTGTGTTATCTTCTATCCATTTAATTTAAGTAGTAGATGATTCTAGATGACTTCTTTAGTGATAGTTGGTTTTGAAAGGTGAATTTCCACACTAATCATCATGGTTGATTCTAGATGATTTCTTTAGTGATAGTTAGTTATAAAAATATATAATGACACATTAGTTACATATATTATCATAGTTGAGTTGGTAAAATGTATGTCTCTTTTTCTTTTGGTTTGAGTTCTCTTAGCAACCACAAAATTATTATTTTATACATTTTA